GCCACATCATCGTATGTAGAAGTCAGGAAATTACTCTTATACTGTAGTACGTTAAGAAATATGTCCTTTTGGCTTGGCACACATAGCTCAGTGGTTAGGGTGCTGGTCACATACACAAAGGCTGGCTGATTGAACCCTGCCTGGGCCTGCTAAATAACAATGACAACTGCAACAACTAAAAAAATAGCCAGGCATTGTGGCAGGCACCTGTAGTCCCAGCTACTTGGGAGACTGAGGCAAGAGAATCACTTAAGCCCCAAAGTTTGAGCTTGCTGTGAGCTGTGACGCCATGGCACTTTACTGTGGTGACATAGTGAAACTGTGTCTCAAAAAAAAAAAAAAGACATATGTCTATTTAATTTAATTTGGTAACATACTTAAGATCTAGGTAATGACTAAAACTCCTATGAACACCCGGAGGTCAGTAACAGTCAGAGGCAGAGCTGTGAAGTTCCTTGTTAAACTTAACTTTCTGTTCTTTCAGCATTTCCCCTCCCGCCCCTCTTGGCCCAGTGATCATTTTGCCTCGTACAGAGAGCAGTTCTTTTCACAGGCATGTGGCCCACCTGTGGGTTCTGACCGTAGGGGCCTGAGAACCTGCACTGGGACCCTACACCCAAAGAACGTTAATCACATTTAATTTCTGCCAAGAGAATCAGGTACCCCTAAAGTAGTGGTTCTCGACCTTCCTAATGCCCTGCCCCTTTAATGTAGTTCCTGTGGGTCCCGACCCATAGGTTGAGAACCGCTGCCCTAGAGGGAGCTATGGAAGTATTGCTTATTTCGGGGTTTGCAATTCAACAGGACCTCCAGAGTTTGAGCTGAGAAGACAGTTTTGCAGGGAGGTTTCAGGTATCAGCCAGAGATGAGAGCTGTCTTGTAACACCTGTGCCTTCCCATTTCGGGCTGCAGTGCTATGTTCTGTGCATAAAGCTGCACTGTACCTTCCTTCTCTCCTTCAGAATCCTCCATACCTGCTGGGCGAGAAAGATATTTCATTAAGGAGGGCAGACAGTTGGCTTCTAGGTCCAGAATTACAGAGTCTCAGAGCTAAAGGGAACCCACATGAACCTGTTGATTTTATACATGATGTCTTTAACTTTCTCAGTATTTTTTTTTTTTTTTTTGAGACAGAGCCTCAAGCTGTCCCCCTGGGTAGAGTGCTGTGGCATTACTGCTCACGGCAACCTCCAACTCCTGGGCTCAAGCGAGTCTCCTGCCTCCGCCTCCCTAGTAGCTGGGACCACAGGCACCCGCCACAACACCCGGCTATTTTTTTGGTTGCAGCCGTCATTGTTGTTTTGGCGGGTCCGGGCTGGAGATTCGAACCCGTCACCTTAGGTGTACGTGGCTGACGCCTTAGCCGGTTGAGCTATAGGCGCCGAGCCACTTTCTCAGTATCTTATGTTCTCGTACTCTTGGGATGTTTTGACACTAGTGGCTTTTTTTATTATCTCAGTACCAGGAAAACTGAAATATTATAGAAAATATTTAGTTTTAAGGGTAAAAAATGCTATTTCTTTTCCTTATAGATCTCATCTAAACTTTCTTTGCCTACTTGTGCCTGGGAACCAGCAATGAAGCAGAGTTTTGCCTTTGACAACATTGGCTTCGAAGGCAGTCCGGATGGCCTGTGCCCTTCCCCTCAGGTGGCCACGAACCTGATCAGGATTTGGGGTATGACTTGCCAGTCATGTGTCCAGTCCATCGAGGGCATGATTTCTAGTTTGAAAGGCATCGTAAGCATTGAGGTTTCCCTGGAACAAGGCAGTGCCACTGTGAAACATGTGCCATCAGTCATCAGCCTGCAGCAGGTTTGCCATCAAATTGGGGACATGGGTTTTGAAGCCAGCATCACACAGGGAAAGGCTGCTTCCTGGCCCTCCAGGTCCTGGCCCTCCCAGGAGGCTGTGGTGAGGCTCCGTGTGAAGGGCATGACCTGCCAGTCCTGTGTCAGCACCATCGAAGGCAAGGTCCGGAAACTGCAAGGAGTAGTGAGGGCCAAAGTCTCCCTCAGCAGCCAGGAGGCCATCGTCACTTACCAGCCTTATCTCATTCAGCCAGAAGACCTCAGGGATCACGTAAATGACATGGGGTTTGAAGCTGCCATCAAGAACAAAGTGACGCCCTTAAGCCTGGGACCAATTGATATTAGGCAGTTACAGAGCACTAACCCAAAGACGCCTTCAGCTTTTGCTAACCAGAATTCCAATAATTCTGAGACCCTGGGCAACCAAGGGAGCCATGTGGTCGTCCTCCAACTGAGAATAGATGGAATGCACTGTACGTCTTGCGTCTTAAATATTGAAGGAAGTATAGGCCAACTCCCAGGGGTTCAAAATATTCGAGTGTCTTTGGAGGACAGAACTGCCCAAGTACAGTATGATCCTTCTCGTACCAGCCCCATGTCTTTGCGGAGGGCCATTGAGGCGCTTCCACCCGGGAACTTTAAAGTTTCTCTTCCTGATGGAGCAGAAGGCAGTGGAACAGATCACGGGTCTCCCAATTGCCACTACCCTGGCTCCCCGCAGAGAGACCAGGTGCAGAGCAGTCCCACAGTGCTTACCATTGCAGGCATGAGCTGTGCATCCTGTGCCCAGGCTATCAAAGGCGCCATCTCCCGGCGGGAAGGGGTGCAGCAGGTGTCAGTCTCTTTGGCTGAAGGGAGTGGAACGATTCTTCATGATCACTCTGTAATTAGCTCAGAAGAGCTCAGAGCTGCTGTGGAAGACATGGGGTTTGTGGCCTTGGTTGCTCCTGTGGGTACGTAGCTGGTCTGTGTGTGTAGTGTGTCCTGGGGTGTCTGCTTCTCTACTTGGTTCCTGGATAGTGGAGAGGTGAACCTGCTCCATGCTGCACGTAGCCACACTTTAACAAGTTCCTGCAGCCTTTCTTCCTGTGTTATAGTTGCCAGGGCAGAGGAAGTACAATTTCTAATGTTTAGATTTTGCCTCGAATGTAGTTGGGACTTTGTAAAAGTCCATCTCTGTTGCTTATAACAGAATACCTGAAACTGGTGATTTATAAAGAAATGGAAGTAGTTTCTTACGGTTAAGGAGAAGTCTGAGGTTGAGGGGTGGCATCTTCTGAGGGCTTTCTTGAGGGTGGGGACTCACAGGCCGTCATGTGTCAAGGGTGGGGACTGAGTGGTGTTAACATGCCTGCTCGGGTCTCTTCCTCCTCTTGCAAAGCCACCAGTTCCCCTGCCGGGAAAACTCATTCATCTGTTAACCCACGAATGGGTGGATCCATTCACCAGGACAGGGCCCTTATGATCCAGTCCCCTCTTAAAGGCCCACCCTTCAGTATTGCCACATTGGAAATTGTATTTCCAACACATGAAATCTGCAGGACACATTCAAACCATAGCACACTTAAATGCCAGAAACTCCTTGAATTGGGACTTCTTTCTGGAGAGATTTTAACTCTGTGTTCTGAGATAGAGCACTGTGGAAACATCAAGTCCTTCTCTCACCGAAGGAACTTTTAACCAACTCCAGAGATTGCTCTGTAGACAAAACAGAACAATAAAAGCAGCAGAACTTTAGTCTCGCCACTTAGAGACCATTGCGTTAGAACTGGGATTTAAGGGAAGGGGATAACAGTGACTTCCTTTATTCCCTTTGATGGCCATGAGGCAAGGGAGCCCCCATAGGGCTAACAAAAGATTATGTTTCAGAGGCTCAGTCTGGTGTCAGGCAGTATGAACAGAGACCTTGAGGCCACATGGGAGGCCAGGCAAGGACTGAGTGGGTCTGGAGAGCAGGATGTGGATCTGAAAGACACGGGGAGGTCAGCCTGTAGAGCTTGGGAGCCAACCAGGGTCTGTGATGAGGGGGACTCTGGAGGGAAACAGCCTGGTGAGTCCCTAGCCGAAGAGCTAGGAGACAATGGGATAGAAGGGTCTTGAGTTTCAAGAGAGTATGGGGGTCCTGGGAGATGGCAGAGGCCTGGAGAGAGTAAGTGTGGGATGGGAAAGAAGAAAAAGGAGGAAGGGGCACAGGGGATGGGCGTCTCCCAGGCAACATGGATGTGACACCACAGCGCAGAAGCTCAGGATTGAACTATGTCTTTCAGGGTAAACTAGGGGAGGCCAGCAGAAGCCTTGGCAGCTGCATCAGGACCCCAGGAAGGGGGGTCCCTAGCCCAGGTAGTCCCTAGCCCCTCCCCAGCCTGCCTTGTGGGGAGGGGCTAGGGACTACCAGTAGCTTAGGCCAGAAGTGCTGGAGAGAGTGATAGGTGGGTGAGGATAGAGAAAGGTGCAGATAAGGAGGGAAGGGGGCAGCTCTGGTAGTGTGGGTGGTTTTTTTTTTTTTTTATTTGAGACGGGGACTCACTCCACTGCCCTTGGCAGAGTGCTGTGGTATCATCATAGGTCACAGCAACCTCAAACTCCTGGGCTCGAGCAATCCTCTCACCTCAGCCTTCCAAATAGCTGGGACTATAGGCATGCACCACTATGCCAGGTTAGTTTTTTTCTATTTTTAGTAGAGACAGAGTCCCACTCTTACTCAGAGAGGTGTTGAACTCCTGAACTGACACAATCCACCCTCCTTGGGCTCCCAGAGTGTTAGAATTACAGGCGTAAGCCACCACGCCTGGCCTATGGGTAGTGTGTTTTAACTGTTCAGGTCCCAGGCACAGGGCCTGCATGTGCACGCCACTCTGTAGGCAGACTCACATGGCTGGCTTCTTATGCTATTATCTGAGCATGGTGCCATAGGGAGCGGCCGGCCTAGCACCAGGAAGAGCTGCCTTCAGCATCATGGACCAGTCCCAGCAGCTCACACTCCAGCTGAATGGACTTTAGTTTCCCACACCCTGTTTCCTGTGGCCACTGAGATAAAGCTTGTGTCCTTGGAAAGTTCCCTCTATGGTGATTCTCCCTGCCCCCCTCTGCACACATGGTACACACACTGCTGCAGGGGCTGGGGAGTCGTGCCGGGCAGGCTAGCCACAGTGTGTATTTTGTCTTTTATACCATGTTTCAGGAAGGAATTTTTTAAAAGACAAAAATCAATAAGGAAAACACAACAGAACAGTAAATCCCATACACAAAGGTAAGAAATAGAGTATTAAATCAACATCTGCTGTATTTGTGTGATGTTTGAAGTCTTTCCATAGGGCAATCTGGTTATTGGCGGTAAAAAGAAAGTAGTGTCCAGTTACATATTCCAGAATAATTAGGTTTGATTGGTAAACCTAGAAAGAAAAGAAAAGTGATTTTTTTTAAATATTGGGAAGAATTATGAGAATTATATTTAGTCCAAGAAGTATTTAGGGTGTCAGACTTAGCAAATAAAAGTATTTGATACCTAGTTAAATTTGAATTTCAGATAAACAGTGAATACTTTTTTTTTAAAATTTATTGTTGGGGATTCATTAAGAGTACAAGAAACCAGGTTAATCAGTGAATACTTTTTTAATGTAAGTATGTCATAAGATATTTATGGCATACTTATGCTAAAAATTATTTATTGTGGCTCGGCACCTGTGGCTCAAGCGGCTGAGGCACCAGCCACGTACACCTAAGCCAGCCATGTACACCTAAGGTGGCAGGTTCGAATCCAGCC